CTAAAGCAAACCCTAAACCCAACCCTATCAGTCGGATTGTCGCCTTGCGTGGTAAACTGACCGAAGGATGGTGTTGGACCTGTGAGCATTGGACAAGCTCGAGCCAGAGGCGTTGTTTTTTTGCGCTGGTGTTTCATGTCTATCTGTGGGTTTTGTTCTGAAAGCAAACGGCCACGACTTGTAGATGTGATTTTTGCTGACACCGGAAGCCGAGTTTTTTTCCCGGTCATCGGTTGGACAGTCGGTCGGTAGATGGGTGTTTTGGGCTTTCGCGGATTTTTGCGTTCTTATGGCTTTCCACATCTTGCAACCCTGAGTAGCATCACTGCCAGGATAGTGTTTGTAACCCACCTTACGCCACACCACAAGTCAGCTTTGAACCGCCTGATGTCAACCCTGAACAAAGCCTTATAACAACCCCAAACCACACCGAAACCACACCGAAACCAAGTCTAAGCCTACTCTGAACCACCCCTAAGCTGGCCAAATACAACCAAGCCCCAACCCCAAACCGCCAAACCGCCAAACCAACCATGGTTTAACTCCCAACCTGAACCAGCCCTAAACCAACCACCTTCCCAAGCCTGCTGCACACCAGCTAAACAAATCCGAAGCAAACCCCACACCAACCTTGAACTAACCCGCAGGCAATCCTAAACCATCCCTGAAGCCGCCGTAAACCAAAGCGGCCCTGAGGAAACAACAATCACGAGTTCCTCCCTCCCAAAGGGACCAAAATGGGTGTGAATCTTGATAAGGGATCTGGTGGACACCATTCAGATGGGGATTTCTGTCCACCACTTTGGAGCCGGTTCCTGACTATGCATGGCCAAATGAATGACTGGACATGACCAAACCTATGGAACCTTTTTGTGCCTCAGCCCTCAGCCCGCTGCCAGACCCCAAAAGGCGAGCCTTTGGGGGCCTTACAAATTGACTGAGAAGCTGAAAGGTCATCTCAGGACTCAAGTTGATCCAGGGTTTCTAGGTCTCCAGCTGAAAGTTCGGAAGCTTTCGACATGGCAAACACCAACCAGACATGAAGGCACGGCCTGGGAAGGCGCGGTGTGGCAACACCTTTCCGACCCCCCACTTCAAGAGCGCCAGGGGATTTCCCAAGGTCACTTCAACCTTCTCTTCACCTCGTTCTCTTCAGAAACCAAGGGGTTTTGGAGAGAGAGAGAATGAGAGAATGTGACCCAACACTTAAACAAGCCCAGCTCCTGGGCTAGGTCCTCCAGTAGAGGGGTTAAAATAAGGGTACCAACTTTTTCCTGTAGTCTGTTTTAGTGGGGGGACCCCCAAAAAAGGGGTTAGAAAGGGCACTACTGGGGGACCGCCCAGGGCCTCTTGCCCGGGCCCCCTCCTCCCAAGATCGATTTAAGGCCTCAGTGAGCCCATGACCATGGCAAGCGAGGAAGCTGGCTCTGTCTCCTGTTTTTTGTTCTTCCACGGCTGAAAACACCCGTTTTCATGTGGGTGTGGGTCAGCCACAATGGAACCCTGGTAAATGGAACGAACCAAAGACTAAGACCTGCGCAACCCTAGCTCTTTAATTTTGAGCCACACCCATGTAGACCATGGGGAGTCATTCTAACCACCATTGCCGCATATTTAGGAGCTCTCATCATCTTTTCTTGCTGCAAACCCCAAGGCTGAAGCTGCAGTTCGCTCTCAAGCTCTGTCTTCACTCAAAACCGTCAAGGAGTTCGTCCCAACTGGTATGTCAGCGGAAGAAAAAGCAAATCTTCAACCCCACCACGTTGTTGCAATAGGCGTTCGGGAGGATCGGGGTCGAGCTTTTTATACCCGCCTTGAGCAGAGCCAAAGAAACAAACAACTCAAATACCTACCGCCGCCTCCCGATGTCTCAAACGGCTGCAGTTGCCCGGCCGGCCGCCCGCTCGTCAGCTCAGGGCCCAACTCACAGGATGCGGGTTAAAATCTGTGGACTCACCCCTGTAGAATATGAAACGAATACTCAAAGAGTATCAAAAAAAGAACCAACCGGGAGAAAACTTGTGAAATCCACAGAAAGCGCATCCAAACCGTTTTCTACATGGAGCTCTTCTTGCTGGCTGCAAGGAAGCTATAAGGGATCGTTTTTTTCTCGGGATTCCCGGAGAAGTTTCCTGAGAACCAGGTAGAGTCGGACAGTTGGGCCCGTCAACAATAAAAGAAGCACCGCCGGAACTGCGGGACCTTCGGTTCTGTCGATCTCGGAACCTCGCAACATGGTCAGTCCAAAGATCTAACTATGCAAGGGGGGGTGGCTCAAACTACAGGAACGACCCCCAAAAAGGCTACGTTGTGGCTTCCCTCACAGACAGGTTCCTGGCTGATATACGACCATGTAAAAAGGGGCTCCCCCACCACAAGAGACAAACCCAGGCGGGTTTATTGTGCTTCTAGAACAAACCGTCCCCGTAGTTTTTTTTAAATGTGGGGAAACGTGTGTTCGACTCGATGAGTCGACCCCTGCTTTGTATGTCACGTTTTTGTTCCTTGGCGCAGTGCCACATATGAAACTGGACAAACCTCTCTGGGTGGTCATTGAATGTCCTTTTGGGACAGGACCCATTTAGGCAGCTCCATCATGATTTGGAGAGTAATTCTCCAGGCTGATCCGAAACATTATCTTCGTGGCATTCAAGCCCCGTTGCCCGAGAGTGGACACGAGCAAGACCAGAATGGCATGGTAAAGAATCAAAAGGGCAAATATCTGCACCCCAACCTTCATCCAACCAGGCGTCGTGCTCACCCAACCAGCTTTGGCCCCTTTCCGTGATACTGTTTTGTTGCCTAAGAAATCAACTCTGACAAAAAAAGGCAGCTTTACACACCCACGTGAGCCTCACAAATATCACTGCCCCAAGACTCTTTTGGTCGCATCCCCAACGGGGTAAAGGTCTTGAAACAGTTTCGCAGCGAGCCAGCGACATCCCGCATGCCGACATGCCTCAGCCTTTGAGGCGCGCAATGTGCTCTCCACCTGCGTCCCACCCGCCACCCGCCACCCATGGGGGCGGAGCAACGACTGCAAAAAAGCAAAGACTGCGGGATGAAAGGCAAAAAGGGAAAGCAAACCTGCTGGCTTTGCGTGCCAGGACAATAAAAGCACGTGCACCACTGGTCATTTGGTAACAAAGAACGATCTCTTTTGGGGGGCGGGTCTGAGGAAAACGAAGACCATCCATCACCGTGCGGCTTCCTCTTTTTGGATGCTGACCTGGCTTTTCAAGGGCGGGGTTGGCGCTTGCTCCGTTCTAGCTCATAACGCATCCCCAAAGGAACTGGGAATGGGCTGCTGGGAAGCACATTTCGGAATCAGGGTTCCATTTGTTGATTTGGCTGTGGCTCAAAAAACCGGTACCAAAATGGAACCCTGGTAAGTGGAAACATGGACCAACACCTGCGTAACCCCTCCTGTTTAATGTTGAGCCACACCCATTTCCTTACGGTAGACTTCAACCCAGGGGTGGTTGATGTCCCCAAAAGAGAACGAAACCCCTCAGTCATCGGGGTAAAAACGAATGCAACCCTGTTCAGTGTCCTCAGATCCCCCGCTAAAAGTAAAAAACATACTTTTAGGGTTTAAATGGAAATCCAACCACTAAACACCAAAAGCTGAAAAGCTAAGGAACCGGACGGCTGGGAGCCACCAAGTTCCGAGCTCCCTGGGCAAACAATTCCGGTGTGGCCAGTGTGATAGTAGCTGTTGAAAATTCTGGGTGCAAGCCATGCCAATGGTCGGGGAGACCGGGTTTCTTAGGTTGACTTGGGTGTCGCGCCTTTTTTGAGGATACCCTTTAAGGTTATTGTCGCTTTGAAGGACAACCAGACGGAAAACCGTCGCCATTCTGGGGGCGTCCCCGATTTTTGATTGAGATACAACCACATAGACTTCGAATCGCGCTTTCGCATCTCAATTGCCACTCCTTCTTTTGCTTTGAGCTTTCCGCACTCTTTGCCGGGTGCTTTGCCCTCCCCCAGAAGACTCTGCCAGGCGGCGACCCAGACGCTGACCCCTTGGAACCAGACGCGTCGTTGGACACAACTCGCCGGGCGAAACCGCTCCGGGCGATTTGTCGTGAACTGCACGCCGTTCAACACAAATCAGAGGGCGAAAAACTCGTGAAGCTCAACCACCCTTTCCAACATTTAGACTAACGGGAACCCAGGATTAGTGAGTCCCTGATTGATTCATAGCAAGGCTTCTCAAGAAGGAGTCGACATCAAAGGACCGGGGCGGCGGAGAGCCGTGTGATCAACAAAAACCGCGATGGCTTCCTATGTCTGATTTGCAACCGATGGTCCTCGACATGTCAACCTTCTGGGCTCCCACGAACCATCGCAAACCAATCAGTTCAGTTCAGATTCGGCGGAGAAAAAACAAAAAAACAAAAACGAATGTGTGAAGTGTGAATCGAGTCTGCTCAAAGTACAATAGTTCAATACTTCAGGAATTTCTGTATACCATGCCTCAAGCGGTCGTTGTATCCTCATTTGTCCAGAGGAATCTCTCGATCTGCTCGACCTCAACGTCAGACATGGCGGTTTTTGTTGACCCCCAGACCTCGGCAAGCTCACCAGAACTCGCGGGCCAAGGGGTTGAACTTGAGCCCAGGGACACTCGTTGTTTTCCCTCGTTTGGTGGCTTGCAGGTGCCGGGGCTGGTGTCCCCCAAACCACCAATCCAAACCACTAATTGGTGGGAAGCTGAGGTTCGGCCCAATCAGCGCACTGGGTGGACTTTTTGCTCCTCTCAGAAACAAGGACGCGCAACCACTGTGTCATCTGTTTGGGGTTCGAAGCGCTGAACGACGCGGCCAATTTAGGAACACCACTACACAAGGGGCTCGTTTCGCAGCCAACGGTAAGAATTCAGGATCCCAGAATAAAAGCCATCAAGCAAATCACAAACACAAAGGTCCAAAACACCAACGAACAGTAAAAAAAACAAAAACGTGATCACAATCAACAAGCATTTGTGTTTTTAATCAAACACCTGGCTCAACCCAAAACACACACAAAAAGAAACGAACACCTGATCAACAGCACAGGCCTCCCCTTTCTCGCCTTGGGCGATCCGACCATTTTTCTCTCCGATCCGAGCCGAACTCCGACCCCGAAATGCAAATCTCGCGCCGAAAGGCCTCCGTGAGGTTGGCTTTGGTGCGCTCGGCCTCCGCCACCACCTGTCGAACCCCCCCCAAAATAAAAAGAAAAACAAGAGACCCCCCGAAGCAAAAAACAAAAAACGGAGAGGAGGACGGGTAGCGGCGAGGGGGGGGTTTCTCACTTCCGCGACGGCTAAATTTTGACTCACTCCAAACATGGTCTGTTGATTTTAAGTTAAAATTGGGTGTGGCTCAAAGGAGCCCAAAGTGGAAGTCTGGCAAATGAACAAGTAGACCAAAACCTGCGGTCCCTTGGCTTTTGAATCTTGAGCCACACCCAGATGGCAAACCATGCAACACTGTCTGTTTATGAATGTTCAGGAACCGGAAAAGTGAGAGATATCATTCGTCGGCATGTGAGGGGGAATCGGAGAAAAGAAAAAAAGGAGAAAAAAAAAGTGAGTTGGTTGGGTTGCTGAGTTACTGTACTTTGTAGATGTTCTGAGTGCAAATCGAGGGACGCCGCGCAAGGATTCATGGAAAAAATGGTAGTTGGAGTCAGCTTCCCATTTGCGGGGTTGGTTTGAAGCGAAACCATGTCACTGGCGGACTTCTCCGGTGGACCGCGCTAATCAAATGTGCTTTGGTTTTTCATGTCCGGCCTAGCCTGAGCTTGATGCCATCCTAGACCAGCAACTGTTCTAGGTTTTTTAGTAGGGATTGCCACAAAGCCCACCCCCCCCGCCTGTTTTTGTGCTTAGGTTCACCTCCCGAACCTCCATTTGCGGACGAAAAAGGCGAACAGATCTCCAGTGATAGATTCCCTTTAAAGCAAACAGGGGACAATCGCATAAACATTCTGAAGCCAAAGCCTAAGAAGCCTAATGGCCATGGGGAAAGGGCAGCTGTTGCTAATCTAAGATGGTTTCCACTATGCCCCCATATCCCAGAAAGCCCTCCAAAATAGTGGTTTGGCAATTTGGGGGTCTCACTTGCGTCGTGGATGGCCCCAAAAAAGGTCTCAAACTTGTTGTATGCCACTGGCCAAACCCAACACCCAAGAGGTATGAAGCCCGAAACGGAACTCAGGAAGCAGTTTGGGTAGTGGACACCATACAGTTGAGCTGAGAGGAAAGCCGGATGAACACCTCAAAAAACGAAGGCTCCTATGAGCCAAAAAAAGCCATCACAGCCTAGTGACACTACTCCCATGGTTGTCAGGAACCTCCCACAAAAAGGGGAAACCCAAAGGACAACAATTAGCCCCTGGTTGGCCACATTTGTCACTATTCGCCCCTATTGGGATTCTTCCATTTGCTTTTCTCGCGCCCTGGAGAAATGTGAAAACATATGTCCAGTAGTGACAAGTTCCCCTTTAAACCAGGGGAAAACACGATAATGGCACGTTCATCTCATGGAAGAAAAACAAGTCACCCCAAAACAACCGTCTCCCCAAAGCAGTCACCCGCCACGGGGACTCCACGGGTTTCTTCTTGTCACTTCAGCCGATGGAAGGATTCTCAGTTGTTCAGTGACCCTGGAAAAAAAGGGACCCATTTTTGGGAAGACCATTCTAGTGGGGCAGCCACCAAAAAAAAAGGAAAAAAGGGAGCCACTGAACAACTGAGGATTTGGAGGGGGGGGGCGAACCCCGCTCTCCGGGCGCCTCCCGGCGCAGGTCCGCCACCCCCATGGCGCGCGCAGCGTCTTGGGCCTCCTGCGCCTGGCAAAAGAAAACGAGTCCAGGGGCCGGAAAAAAAAAGTCTTCCCAACGACTTGTTGACCTCAATGCTCCAAACCCCGAAAAAGTCCAAAAATGGTCCACCAAAAGGGTCCAAAGCTGTTTGTGTACCACCAAGGGTCTTGTTTAAAGGGTGTGGACTTGTTGTTGACCACCAAAATGGTCACCACAACCAGCGGTTCAAGGGTTTGAACTCTTTGACCACCCAACAAAATCCAAACCCAAGTGACTGAAGTCCGAAACGGCACTCAGGAAGTGAGCCGACGTGTCTCCTTTTTCTGAGCCTTCTGTGGCTGGTTTTTGAAGATTAGGTCCTCCCGATTTGAGAGGTTGGAATGAGTTGGTACCAACTTTTTTCAGCTTTGTCGATTTCAGTTTGGGAACCGAATCTCCCAACCAAAAAAGGGAGTGAGAAAGGGCACCAATTTCTGGGGGACCTAGGAGACCAAAAGGAAGCCCCGGTTGGGGGGTCCCCGTTCCATCTTCTCCAACGCGCCTTTTCAGCGTCCCCATGGCGTCTCCGATCGAGGGAACGGACATGCGAAGCTTTTTCGGGAAGGAAACCAACGGGAAGCCTTCCAATTGCCTTTTCGGCCCGCTGGAAAAAAGAAGAATACTGTATGTCCAGCAAATTCGCCCGAAAGACAAAATGAGAACACCTGTCCGGTAAAATCCCCTTTATACCCAAGCGTGGGAAAATCGCACACTTCTTCTCGAGCAGATGGAAGACGCCCCCCGAGTTTCCACCAATCCGCGTATCAGTTTCCTTTTTGTTTGCCATCGTGTGGGAGTACGGGGGTTCACCCCCAAATGAGCATGGGCACAATTTTCCCCAGGAAGTGGGACGGACGATTTTTGGCGCGATTTTTTCTCCCCACTGGTCGTCCCATGTGTAGCGACTCGAATCCCCCGAACGCTCGCAGGCCACGCCTGGATCTCCCGCTCCAGCTTCTGAGCCTTCCGGCGCGGACCGAGAGGCAGCGTCTTTGGGCCAGAGGGAGAAATCGAGGCCTGACAGGAAACATGAAACATGTAAATAAATCTTTAAAAGCTGGATTTTTGTTGTAGAATAATAATAATTATTAACAAAAGGGCCTCTGGGTGTCCCAAATCAAAAGCTGATCTTAGACCCTGGTTTGGGATGAGCTTGGTGCCCCCCCCCGCCCCAAGCCAGCAGTAGACGATCAATGCTGTTGTCCATGTGCATGTTCAGCGCAAAAAAAAGAAGAAGATAGAACGTGCCAGTAACTACCACGTCCCTTCATCCAACGGCCTACCACTGATATTGAGCTTGATTGACTGTCCTCAGATGCCCTGCTAAAAAGCTCAAAATTAGTGTCTTACATGAACACCCCCAAACCCACCTACAACCTAAAAACGGAAGGTGACTGGGCACCACCAAGTTGAGACGTCAACTTAAAAATGTCTCCACCAAACCCGCCTTCTCAACGCCCCCAAAGTGGTTTCCCAACTTCCCTGACCAATGCGTATTGCCCTCCGGGGCAAACAAACTTTGCGCTGGTCGGAGAACACAGGTTCTCCCAAAAAGCTAAAGGTTGAAGATGCAAGCAAATAGCAGGCAAGAATCATTGTGTCTTTCTAAGGGTTGGACCTAGCCCTCAAGACAACTGGGCTCCCTGTTCAACGGGCTAGTTGTTTAGACAACATGGAGTGTGTCAAAGTACAACCAAGATGTTAGTTCTCCTGTTGGGTTCCCTTTATATAAACCGACCCAAGCACAGCCACACACATGTTTGCCCCGGTTGTTCGGGCCTTTTGGGGCTTGCGTCTTTTGCAACCCTTCCGTAACCCCCTCATATTTTCCGGTTTCCGCAAAAGACAAGCCACGTAAGGCCATGATTGAGTGTGTCTTTTTTGCGAGAACCCTTTTTCGGTTGGGTTTAACGGGAAACCAAAAGGGACACCACCATTTTAGGGGTCCCGCTGAAAACATACACCCACTTCGAGCGGACCAGGGTCGGTTCAAGCAAATTGTGCCCTGGGCGCAACGGCACCGCCTTCTGTAATTTGGGGGGCTGAAGTGTTGTTTAAACAACCTTAGGTTTCAGGGGCAGCCAAGGGCCATTTGGAGGGGCCCATCTCAAAGAAAGGCCCAACATGGGGTCGGAACAATTGGGAAGACCGTCTCAGTGGTTGATCGAAATGCTCATCATCCACTCAGCTGGGTGTTGCGCCCCCCGGCACGAGCAACGTCCAGTGTCAGTGGGGCAAAAACGCACTTCCTGAGAGCGGCAACAAAAACTGAATGAACTTTCTGTTTACCACCAAAATGGCCTTCCCAAAAAGTGTGCACTCCAGGAACGCGGGAATCGGACAGTGAATTGGTTGCTGTCCTCCCACTTGACACAGAACCTGACAGGGGGTCCCTGGAAAAGGAAATCGGTCTCCCCGGACCCTGTCAGGTTCCATGTTACTATGGAACCAATGGAGATCTCCATGGGTTCCCCCCCCAACTCCATCTGTTCACTTGCTGAGTGGATGGCCCCAAAAAAAGTCCAAACTTTTTAGAGTTGCCACTAAAATGGTCCAAACCCAAAAAGCGGTTTAAGTCCATGAACTCATGAAGTGCGTCTTTTCACGCGGAAGGGGATCATCGATCCCTTTCCGCTTTCCCGAAAGCCGTCGCCTCCTCGCCCAGCTGGGTCTTGCGCGCCTCGAGGTCCGCCTCGACCGACTTGGGGACCGCGAGCTAGGCACCGACTCGGATCTCTAGATACTAGGGTACTAGGAAAAGGAGCACTCGGTTGCAAAGTCTGCTCCCCTGCTAAAAGCTTAACTTTTGGTGGTTTAATGGAAAACCCACTAGTTGGAAAAAAGTTAAAGTCGTAACATCCAAGCACAATGCACCAAAGAGCTAGTGCCGGGAAAAGCCTAGTATCTCTCAAAAAGCCGGGGTGTCGAAAAAGGCTACTAGGAACTTACCACCCGGATATATTTTTGTTTGAGAGATGTGACAACATATGTGCACAGAAAACTGGGGCGCGCAAGGTCTTTCTTTCACGGGACCCCCAAGTGAGGCGACACATGGGATAGCAGAAAAAATCAACTAGGTTTGCGGGGGGAGGCCTTTCCGAAGGCCAAGGAAAAGAGCGACCAAGTCTTCCAAGGAGGTGGCTGGAGCTTCCATGTTCGTCTGGGGGAGTGTAAACCAATGCGGGCATGATGGAAGAATCTGCCCGCAGCCACGCGAGTTACCCAGCCTGCTTCCGCCGCAGAGCGTCGTACCTCGGCGCTCTGCAGAGGACAGCCCCGGTTTGCGCAAGGGTAGCAAATTGGCCCAAGCAAAACGGAACAAAGAACAAACAAAAAAAAACAGAACAATGTGCTGCGCCGGCAGTTTGGCCATCGTTCTTGGGTTCGAGGCAACCCTGCCCGTGGGTCGTGTTGAAGGGAGCCAACAGTTTAACTGGAAGCCGGTCGAAAGCATTGCAGCGTCTACGCTTCGAAACGTGCAAGTTTTTTGGGGGGGAAACTTGCATGTGTGTATGCCGAGGTCAAGCAGCTTGCTTGTGGTCACTAGAAACAGTCATCCCAGCAGTTCTCATTGTAAATTCGTCTCCAAAGGCACGCCGCTTCTAAAATGGACAGCCTGTTGGGATGGTCATCTGCAACAAAAACAGGGTGCAGGAAGACAGCGATTCTCCCATGAGACCGAATCAAACTCGTATGTGCGCGGGGTCCCGACCCTTTTTTTGCTGTGGTGGGCGAAATCCGCTTCGCACCGCCTAAGAAACCCTAGGCTGCTCTAAATATCAACAACCGTCGTGGCTTCAAGCATGGTTTCATTTCGTGGTGCGAAGGGATTTCGAAACCATCCACCGTACAACCAAACCAAGGGCGTGGTTTTGCACACGGTCTGTGTTGAAATGGGGAGCCCCCTAAATGAGTGAGCGGATTACCTAAGTCTGTCTCGGCAACCACCCTACAGGTACCGAGCCTCAAAGCGGTACAATGGTTTTGATCAAAGGGGAGGTTATGGGAACTGACTTGAGAGGTGGGTAAACGACAAAGTTGAGGGTAAAGAGAGATCACCAGCCCTTAACCGCCAAACCACCAACCCAAACCACCAGAGATGAAACCTCTGGCAACCTCGTTCCGGTTCCAGGAGGAGCCCCAAGGTTTCAAGTGTTGCTTCTTACCCCAAAAAAGACGGCACCCTTGGTTTTGAATTCTATCTTGTAGTCAACCTAGGTTCTTAAGTAGAGAGGCTAGAATAAGATGGTACCCTTGTTTCTGTAGTCTCTTTTAGTAGGGGAACCCTCCCCACAAAAAGTTGGTAAACGGGCACTACTGGGGGGGCCTAGCAACAAGTGGAACCCCTGGCTGCACTCGCGTTGAACTCCGTGATCTTATTGTGCTGGCGGCGTGGGAGCCAGGGACGGGCCCGAGGGACAGAATTGGTCTTCGGAATCAATCCAACTCAGTTCCCCCCAGGATCGAAAAAAAGCAAGGAGAACAGAACGCTAGCAGCTAGCATAGCCAGCTTGCGTGACAAATGGGTTTGAAGCTACTACCCTCAATTCATACAGTGGACGGGCGAAATCCTGCACCCACTGCATGGGGTGGACAGTTGGAAGACTGGGGAAACGCCGCCCATCCCGATTGGTGCAAAACTAGGTCCTCCAGTAGAAAGGCTAGAAAAAAAGGTACCCTTTTTTCTGCAGTCTATTTTAGTAGCGGAACCGAATCCCCCAACCAAAAACGGGGTGACAAAGGACACCAATTGCTGGACCCAGAAAATTTCGGGGGTGTCTGTTTTGAGGGTTCCGCCCTCCATTTCGTCCGGACAGCTGGTACCCTTTCCGAGCGGCTCTTCCTGCTTCTCCCGCATCCGGCGCCCGAGGAACTCCTCGTCGAAAGGAGCCCCGTGCGAGATGGGATCCACCAAACGGCAGGGAAACGAGCACAACAGCCTCAATTGAAAAGGGGCTACTCAGTCATGGCTTCTGGGTTTAGTGTTGGCCCTTATAGCGCCTCAGTTCAAAAGCCCCCCCAAATTCATACGTTGGAGTCTTGTCCATAGGAAGGTCTTAGCTTCCCTCGGGCTTTGGTCTGCGACAGAACAAGGAATCTGTTCAAATGGTGAAGGGGACAGCTCAAAAAATATGTGCAGATCTCGCCATAGTTGCGGAACAGTCAAAGTGTAATGCGTTCCCATGAAATTATGTGCCACTTCGAATGGCGTCCCTTGATCCTCTACAAAGTTTGGGTCCCGTGCAGAAGCGTAATGAAGGGACTTGCAGATTCCCTCCTCCCAACAGCTTGGGGCTGATGGCAACCAACAGGAAACAAGGGCACCCCTCTTTCTTCACACCCCCAATCCAAAGGACCATAGGCCAATGCAATCCCAGATCGATCAACCTGCCAAATGAAGAAGGGTGTTGACCCCAAGAGCAGCCCTGGGTTCCCATTTGCGACTAAGCCCGAGTTCCACGTCACGAGGAGCACGTTGGCGAACGCACGTCTACAAAGAATGGGGGCGTCTTTTTTGGAGGAGTGTGCTCTTGTTTAGCTTCGCTTAAAAGGAAACATGGAGGAGCGTTCTTGCTTGGATTTGCTTAGAAGGAAACATGGAGGAGTGCTCTTGTTTCGCTTTGCTTAAAAGGAAACATGGAGGAGTCTTCTTGTTTGGTTTGCTTAGAGGGAAACATGGAGGAGTGTTCTTGTTTAGCTTTGCTCAAAGGAAACATGGAGGAGTGTTCTTGTTTAGCTTTGCTCAAAGGAACCATGGAGGAGTGTTCTTGCTTAGCTTTGCTTAAAGGGAAACATGGAGCAGTGCTCGTGTTTATTTTTGCTTAAGAGGAACCATGGAGGAGTGTTCTTGTTTAGTTTTGCTTAAAAGGAAACATGGAGGGGTACTCTTGTTTATCTTTGTTTAAAAGGAAACCTGGAGGAGCGGTCTTGCTTGGATTTGCTTAGAAGGAAACATGGAGGAGTGTTCTGGCTTAGCTTTCCTTAAAAGGAAACGTGGAGGAGTGCTCTTGTTTCGCTTTGCTTAAAAGGAAACATGGAGGAGTCTTCTTGTTTGGTTTTGCTTAGAAGGAAACATGGAGGAGTGTTCTTGTTTAGCTTTGCTCAAAGGAACCATGGAGGAGTGTTCTTGCTTAGCTTTGCTTAAAGGGAAACATGGAGCAGCGCTCGTGTTTATTTTTGCTTAAGAGGAACCATGGAGGAGTGTTCTTGTTTAGTTTTGCTTAAAAGGAAACATGGAGGGGTACTCTTGTTTATCTTTGCTTAAAAGGAATCCTGGAAGAGTGTTCTTGTTTAGCTTTGCATAAAAGGAAAAATGGAGGAGTGCTCTTGTTTATCTTTGCTTAAAAGGAACCATGGAAGAGTCTTCTTGTATATCTTTGCTTAAAAACAACCATGGACGAGTCTTCTTGTATAGCTTTGCTTAAAAGCGGCCAGGAAACATATCTGAGCCTTTTCCTTTCAAAGTAACCTCCACATCTCCAGGTGCTTCTTGAGGTTCTCCTGGTGCCACGCCCGCTCCCGCAAGATCTTTGCGGCTTCATCCGCGTGCTTTTTGCGTTCTGCCTGGGCAGTCTGTGCCTCTGTCAAGGCTGAGCATTGCTCCGCGAAGGTCGCCAACCGATTCATCGACCTTTGGCCCCGGCAAGGTCCGTGATGAGCTTTCGGACTCCAGGCCATGTTGCAAACAGCCCTAGAACAACAACGTGGCCGAACTGGACACGTGTCAGACTAGGAGATCTCAAAAATGGGTTTCATCAACTGTCCCCTTAAAACCCATCTTAAGCCCAATTTGGGCACCCTCCAGAACAATACAATGTTGTCAAGGACTGTCAGAGAGTCAAAACCTGATCATTTACCTAAATGAATTGGGCTGTCCTCAGCTTTCCTGGATGGCTGGGGGCCACAAAGGTGGTGGCGCCAAGCCCGGCCTCCTTGAAGTGAGCAACGTCCTTCTCCACGTCCCCCTAGACGGTTGGGAGGGGAATAGGACACCCCTGCTAGGTCCTATGCGTGTAGAGTAAATGTACTGAAATAGCGTGTTAGTGTAGTGGCATGCAATTGAATGTGATGATGTGTTGCGTTGTATCTGAGTGTTGTGTTGTCTTGTGTAGTGGCGTGTGTGGTGCGGTGTGTGGTGTGTGTGTGTGTGTGAGTTGCGAGTGTGCGTGTCTGTGTGTTTGTGTGGTGTGTGTGTGTGTGTGTGGTGCGTGGTGCGTGGTGCGTGTGTGCGTGTGTGCGTGTGTGCGTGTGTGCGTGTGTGCGTGTGTGCGTGTGTGCGTGTGTGCGTGTGTGCGTGTGTGCGTGTGTGCGTGTGTGCGTGTGTGCGTGTGTGCGCGTGTGTGCGTGTGTGCGCGTGTGTGCGTGTGTGCGTGTGTGCGTGTGTGCGTGCGTGCGTGCGTGCGTGCGTGCGTGCGTGCCTGCGTGCGTGCGTGCGTGCGTGCGTGCGTGCGTGCGTGCGTGCGTGCGTGGGTGGGTGGGTGGGTGTGTGTGTGTGTGTGCGGTGCGTGTGTGTGTGTGTGTGTGTGTGTGTGTGCGGTGCGTGTGTGTGTGTGTGATGTATGTGTGTGTTGTGTGCGCGTGTGTGTGTGTGTGTGTGTGGTGTGTGTGTGTGGTGTGTGTGCGGTGGGGTGTGTGTGTGGTGTGTGTGGTGTGTGTGCGGTGGGGTGTGTGTGTGGTGTGAGTGGTGCGTGTGTTTGTGTGGTGAGGGGTGTGTGTGTGTGTGGGGTGTCTGTGTGTCTATTGTGTGTGTGGTGTGTGGTGTGTGGTGTGTCGTGTGTGGTGTGTGTGTGTGTAGTGGTGTTGTGTGGTGGTGTGGTGTGGTGTGGTCTGGTCTGGTCTGGTCTGGTCTGGTGTGGGTTTGTGCGAGTGGTGTGTGTGTGTGTGCGTGTGTGGTGAGTGGTGTGTGTGGGGTGTCTGTGTGTGTGTGTCTATGTGTGTGTCTTGTAAGTGGTGCGTGTGTGTGTGTGTGTGTGTCTTGTGAATGGTGTGTGTGTGCGTGTGGTGTGTGGTGTGTGTGTGTGTGGGGGGCGTGTGTGGGGTGCGTGGGGCGTGTGGGGTGTGGGGGGTGTGTGGGGCCTGTGGGTTGTGTGGGTGTGTGTGGTGTGTGTGTGTGGGGTGTGCGTGGGTGTGTGGGGTCTGTGGGGGGTGTGCATCTGTGTGTGTGTGTGTGCGTGCGTGTGTGTTTGTGTGTTTGTGTGTCTCTGTGTGTGCGCGCGTGTGTCCGCGAGTGTGCGCACGTGTGTGTGTGTGTGTGTGTGTGTGGGGGTGCGTGCGTGCGTGCGAGCGTGCGTGCG